AGACAAATTCAGTTGGCAAGGCCTAGGGTTCTCTGTACCTCCAGAGCAGCCAGTGCTTAGCTTCTAGGAGAATCCCTCATAGAGAAGTTTATTGTAAAGCTGCCTGCTGCTAATAACAGCTCTTCAGCCTTCTGTATTTGTCAAAGTGGCTTCCTGTCCCCATTACCTTATTTGAGACTCATAACCCTGGAAATGAGCAAACTAAGGCCTAGAAAAGTTAAGGACTTCCTCAACAGGTTCCAGGCAGAACTACGACAAGAAACCCTTTTGATCCTCATGCTAGGAGCCTTTATCTATACCCTGTCTGTCCTAGTCTCAACTGCTCATCAGGCAAACAAAAAAACAAAAACCTGGCTGAATCTAGCCTGGTTCACCACCCAACCACTTGCCATTGGTTGACCCTGTCTTCCTGACCCTAGCTGAAAGCAAACCCTCCCATGGGGTCATTCAAATGAGCTCCAACAACTTGTTCTTCCTGCTGCCCAGTTATGCCAAGTCAGACTCTCTAGAGATTCCAAGCCTCAGTGATAGCATTTTATTGACTCTACTCTCACTCTGCCTCAAAATACTTCCCTACTTCTACTTAGCCAGGACTGTCTCTGGGGAGAGGTGCTCCTCTCAGGAGCACTGTTGATGCCCATGGGAAACTCGAGCTTGGTTCTTCTGCTGCCATCTCAGGAAGGCTGAAACAGAAGCTGCTCCTCTGGGAGGCAGCAGGTCTTTCCCTTGAAAACCTCAAGACATTTCACCAACTCTTACCTAAAGCTCAGATACCAGCAGAAGGAACAAAGGAAAAGTATTTAAACCAGGCTGGGTAAGAAGAGGGAAGTGCCCAAGGACAGTTTCAAAAGAGAGAATGAATCCTGAAGGATGACTAGCAACTTTCCAACCAAATGGTGGATAGTAGAACAGCTTCTCTAAGGGCTTGGAGATAGAGACAAAGGAAAATTCAGAGAAATTAAAGTGCTTAGTTACGACTGGATCATGTGTGTATGTGCAGGAGAATAACACATGAGACTGGAGGCTAGCAGGGAGCAATGAGGCTACAGAGAAAAGCAGGGTTCAGACAATAGTGGGCTTTCCTGGATTCTTGGCCTGGAGAGTTAGAATTTGATCCTGAAGGCACAAAAGAGCTCCTGGAGCTTTTTAAGTATGGCAAAGGATGAGATGACAGTCATGATCTGATTTCCACTTTAGAAAGATGCACTACTGGATGGGTCATTGATTGCAGGAATGGGGCAGAAGTAGAAAGAGGAAGACCAATTTGAGGTACCTAAGAGATTTCCTAATGGAGAAGAAAAGATGGCTGTATGGTCTTAAGGTTTGGGCAGTGGAGATGAAAAGTGGATGGACTCATAGTTTGTTTTTAAGGTAGATTTGACAGGACTCCATAATTAATTATATATCCAAAAAAGGTGATGAACCAAGGATTACTGGCTTGAGTTATTGGGGATAGGGAACACTATATGAGGAGTAGTTTGAGGGTGAGGAGAGAAGAGGACAGATGACGTCAGCTTTGCAAATGTTGAATTTGAGATGCCATTAAGATATTCAGGTGGAGCCATTCCAAATGCAGTTGACAAATCTTGAGTTCAGGAGAGAGATCTATGGCACAGGTATGGATTCAGAGTCACTGGCATGGAGACAAAATAGATGAGATCACCCATGTAAAGTGCAAAGAATAAGAAAAGCAGTCTAGATGAAGCCTTGGGGTTGGAGGAATAGTTAGATTTAAAGAGTGGGCAGAGGAAGAGGAACTTATAAAGGACCTAGAAGAATCATTTTGAGGAGTAGGGAAAACAGTGGTGCTACAGAAAATAAGGAAGAAGACAGTTTTATGAAGAAGAGGAACACGATGAGATGACAGAGAGATAATCTCCCTCCCCACCACTCATCAAATGTTTATTAGCTCCTGTTCTGCACTACTTTGTATCAACATTTGCATTATCATAGTCAACACTGGTGAACAGAATTGACTATCAACCATACGCCCAATTCTGCAGAGGCACAATAGAAGTATTTTGTTTGTTTGTTTTTGGAGACCTGGTCTCACTCTGTCACTCTGGCTGGAGTTTAGTAGTGTGAACATAGCTCACTGTAGCCTTAAATTCCTGAACTCAAGTGATCCTCCTGCTTCAGCCTCCCCAGTAGCTGAGACTACAGGCACATGCCACCACACCTGGCTATTTATTTTTATTTTTTTAGAGACAGGTCTTGCTATGTAGCCCAGGCTGGTCACAAACTCCTGCCCTCAAGTGATCCTCCTGCCTTGGCCTCCTAAGTAGTTAGGACTACAGGTGTGTGCCACCATGCCTGGACCAAAAGTTTAACATATGTTTTTTCATCCTCAAATTGTTTAGAATTTGGTTGAAGAGACAAAATATTCAACAAATGCATAGATAGATGATAGATAGATAGATAGATAGATAGATAGATAGATAGATAGATAGATAGACAGATAGATAGATGGATAATGGTGAAACTCTACTCTCTGTCCCTGTGTCTCTGTCTCTGTCTCTCTCTCTTGCTCTCTCTCTCTCCCTCCCTCCCTCCTTTCCTTTACCTCTTTCTTCCTCTGATCCTCCGTCCTCTTCTCAGTCTTCTTTCCCAATGTTGGGCAGCACTTTTCTGACCCTTACATTCAAGTATCATTGACTCATTTAGGAAGTCCCTATCTTATAGTCATATGGAGACCCTCAAGCCTCTTGACTGCTTGTATTAACTCATTAAGAAGACATATTCGGAAATGCTGCTCTGGGTTAAGCACTATGTGAGGCACATAAGACACAGAGTTAAATAAGGTAGAATGACTGCTCTCAAGTAGCTCCCATACTGATGGGGATGAATAAGAGTTTAAAGAGGAAATTGCAATATAGTGCAAAGAGTACTATCTCTATCTCAGTGTTGTCGTCTATACAATAGGGATTATTAGTACCTACCACAAAAAAAAAATCTTGTGATGATTAAACGAGTTAACACATGTAAAGTGCTTATCATGGTCACATAACAAACACTAGATAAGTGTTGCTATTATTATTGTTACTATCACTATGATAGAAGTAATAAACACAAGATGCTGAAAGAACACTTGACCCAGGCTAGAGTAAGAGACATCTGAGCTGAGTCCTAAAAGAGGAGAAGGCACTGAACATAGGAAGAAGAATTCAGGACATTCCACTTAGAACAGCTTGTTCTCAGATTTGGGAGCACAAGATCACATGACATGACTGAGGAACTGAAAGTAATTTAGTTCAGCAAGAATATAGGGTACGAGAAGGAGAATGGCAAGAGATGAAGCTTGAGAGGTCATGGAGTACAAAAAGTTTGGACTTGATCCTTTAGCCAATGGGGAGCCATTGGGATGTTTTATGTAGAGTAGTGACATGATCAAATTAATGTGTTGAAAGATCACCTTGGCAACAGTCTGAAGAAGGAATTGAAACTAAGACCAGTTAGGAAGCTGTTGCTATACTCAAGGTGAGAGAGAATGATGAAAACCTGGACCAGGAAAGTAATGGAAATGGAGAGAATGGAGCCATAGATTTGAAGTATATTCAAGAGGTAGAACTGATGGGACAAAGTAACTGTAGGATGCAGGAGATAATGCAAGAAAGGTGACAAGGATTTTGGTCCAGCACAAGGGGATAGATAGAGGTATCAGTCATTGACCACAGAGCATCCAGAAAAGAATTGTTTGGTGAAAGGTACAATGAAAGAGGCAATGTTCTTATGGGTATGTCGAATTTGAGGCGCCTATATTTCCGTGTGGACATTTTGACTAGGTGATTGCTCTGCCAATCTTGAAGCTCAGGAGGGTCCAGGTTGAAAATTCAGATTGGGAGAGCCAGTGGATGGGTAGCAGATTAAATTCTGTGGGCAGATGAGTTTGCTCAGAGACAGTGTTGAGTGAGAAAAGGATGGACTTCTGAGGAACACTCACATTTAAGAGATGAATAGGAAAAGAAAAATATTGAAAAAGACTAAAATGAAATAGCCAGATTATTATAATGGGTTGAAAAATTAGTGAGTTGGAGGGTCATGTAGAGAATGGGGAGAAAGGTGTGCCCTAGACTCTTAGTATCCTGAACCTTGGCAAGAGTAGAGGTCCTTGGACACTGCAAAAATCCTGTACAGCTCTGAGATTCCAAAGGATTGGCTCAGATGCCTGCCTCTTACAAAGTCCCCTGCTCTAGAGCAGCTACGCTTTCCTCTGTCTGCCCTAGTGCCCCATACAGATAGCCCAGGGAATTTCAGGACTCCCTCCAGACCCTGGAACCTTTGTTCCAGGGTGCTCCTTCATCATCTGAAAGACTGATGGTGAAGGTATCTATTAGGACTAGTGGGAGCATCTACTAGGAGACCAGGTATGAAATATCTGTGTGTGTTATACATTCAGAAGGGTCTTAGCTAGCTTTCAGAGGGGGGTTTGGACAGGGCTGGGAGGATCTGAATTCTCAGAGAATGGACAGAAGGCTTTGTTGCCTGCCCCAATCTGCCCTGGATAACATTTTCACTATGGGCAGGATAATCCAGGGCTAGGTCACTATTCTCTAGGCCCCTGGAGATTCAAGAAACCTCTAACAAGATAGAGTCCAAAGCTATATTCTAGGACCTGTTCTTCCTGATGTAGTCCCCTGAAGTTTGACCTCAGTCTGCAATTGAGGGGCCCTGTGGCACTGTTGCTTGGCAATGTGTTAAACAGTAGGCCTTAGAGACCAGCACTTAAATTAATACAGCCACCACAACTGCCACTGCCATCACTACCTTCCTGGAAAGTAGCCACCTGTCTGACCCCTGATTTTGTCTAGCTGCCAGTATAAGACATGTGCCTACGCAGGAGGCGATGACATTTTGGCTCCATGTTCAAAGTTTTTGTTTTTTTTTCCCCTTTCTCATGTGTTATTTCCAAAGATAACAAAGGTCAAAAGGCATTCAGCATTTTCTGGTTTCTCATAAGCTTCTGGTCAATATTTAATCTGGTTTATGGATTTTTTTTTTAGGTCTTCTAGATGCCTTCTTGAGCCTGCGTGTGGCCACCCACAGACACTTTAAGGAGTCAACCTGGCAGAGACACTGTGAGATGAGGAATTAAAGCCTAGATCCAAGGAGCAATAGCTGAAGCCAGAAGACAAGAAAGTGGGTCCTGAAGACGCTTCTACTGAGAGGTCTACCATGGCCTCTCTTGGCCTCCAACTTGTGGGCTACATTCTAGGCCTCCTGGGGCTGTTGGGCACACTGGTTGCCATGCTGCTCCCCAGCTGGCGAACAAGTTCTTATGTTGGTGCCAGCATTGTGACGGCAGTTGGCTTCTCCAAGGGCCTCTGGATGGAGTGTGCCACACACAGCACAGGCATCACCCAGTGTGACATCTACAGTACTCTTTTAGGCTTGCCCGCCGACATCCAGGCTGCCCAGGCCATGATGGTGACGTCCAGTGCAATCTCCTCACTGGCCTGCATTATCTCTGTGGTGGGCATGAGATGCACAGTCTTCTGTCAGGAATCCCGAGCCAAAGACAGAGTGGCAGTAGTGGGCGGCGTCTTCTTCATCCTTGGAGGCCTCCTGGGCTTCATTCCTGTTGTCTGGAATCTTCACGGGATCCTGCGGGACTTCTACTCACCACTGGTGCCTGACAGCATGAAATTTGAGATTGGAGAGGCTCTTTACTTGGGCATTATTTCCTCCCTGTTCTCAATGGTAGCTGGAATAATCCTCTGCTTTTCCTGCCCATTCCAGAGAAATCGCTCCAACTACTATGATGCCTACCAAGCCCAGCCTCTTGCCACTAGGAGCTCTCCAAGGCCTGGTCAACCTCCCAAAGTCAAGAGTGAGTTCAACTCCTACAGCCTGACAGGGTATGTGTGAAGAACCAGGGGCCAGAGCTGGGGGGTGGCTGGGTCTGTGAAAACCAGTGGACAGACCCCCCAGGGCCACAGATGAGGGACATTGCCACTGGATTGTGTCAGAAGGTGCTGCTGAGGATAGACTGACTTTGGCCATTGGATTGAGCGAAGGCAGAAACAGGAGCTAGTGTGACTGTATGTAGGTTGAATTGCCAAGGATGCTCGCCACGCCAGTCTTTCTGTTTCCCTCACCTTGTCCTCTCCCATCCTGAGTCCCCAACCCTCAATTTGGTACCCCACTCCCCTACCTTTAGCTCGACCCTAGAGGCTCCCTTCACCCTTTGGTTTACCTGGGAATTCATCCCAAAACCCACTAATCACATCCCACTGACCCTCTATGATCAAAGACCCTCTCCCTCTGGCTGAGGTTGGCACTTAGCTCACTGTTGGGGATAGGGAGAAGGATAAGTGGTGGCTTTTATGGGCATAGTTCTAACCTCCTTCTTAAGCCTCTCTTCAAAGAAACTGATTGATCAGTAATAGGCCCTGGAACCTCCATCCCACTCTTGTTATGACTCCACAGTGTCCAGACTGGTTTGTGCATGAACTGAAATAAAGCCATCGCATGGTATCCAGGGAATAGAAAGCAACTGGGTGCAGGATGAGAAAATGGGAAGGCATCCCAGTATCAAAAAGTAGACCAGGACTATTTTCCAGGGCATTTCCCAGAATTCCCTCACATTTGTGGGTCGGGGATCAAGTCTGCGGCTTGAGGAATGCACAAGGAAAGAAGATATGGTGAAAACTCAGGTGGCAGCAGACTGACTCCACTGAGGAATTGCCTCAGAAGTTGCAGTCCCAACTTCCGCTGAGACCCCTTCCTCCCTCTGGGATGCCTGACCTGGCCTTCTGCTGAAACCACAAGGTTAAGGGCCCTAGGCAATGGTTTCCTTAGGAATAGTAAACCAGTTTTTCTAGAGACAGCCCTTGTCTGGGGAATGACAGCATGAGTGCTGTGGAGTACTGAGGAAGATACCACTCCTCGATGTGGCTGGGAAAGAATAAGAACTTTGGTATCTAAGAAGTTGCATGGGCATGTGTGGTGGCTCCAATGGGTGTTTCTACTGTGTCAGAAAAAGGCAGCCCAACCCCCAGAGTCGTCAGGCCTATTGGAAAATCAGCCCCAAAGATTGAGATCAGGCCCCCTGGGATCTACCCACAGAGTGCTAAAGAGTCTCTGAAAGACTGAAAGACCACAGCACCAAACGGGCCCCTTCTCATTCTCCCCACCATCCATCAGAAGATATTCCAGAGTTGCTAGAGGACATCCAAGGGCTCCAGCGTGGCACATTCATGTCCAAGGTCTGAGTGATAGCTGAGCCGCTGCCTGGGATTACAGTCAGGGTGGAAGAGTAGAGAATGGTTCTCAGGAAGACAGTTCCATCTCTGAAATCTGAAAACCAACCGTTCCCCCTGGAGTGGGAGTAGGGGCCATAAACCGAAGACATTTTTCTTTGCCAACTTAGGCATGAGCAGCTTCTGAAAACTCCAGTACACTCCCACAAGCCTGTATCAGTAGAAGGTGCCCATTTATCATGCCTAACATGCCTTTCCTGTATCCACATTCTTGCCTATATTCCCGCTGTTATCCCAGCCTGGAAGGCCTCCTCACCTTAGTCAAGTCCTCCTTATGTTTGGAGCACTTGTTCAGAGTCACCTTCCTTATTGAGCGTTCTCTGACCACTCCGTTCCTCCCCTACCCCTCCCTCCTCCAACCCTCAATATATAAAATTGCTTCTTGATGCTTATTATTCACAACTTTTGATTGATAGTTACCTTTTCATGTGTGTGTCTGATCTCACAAGTATATTGTAAATTCTTGGAGGGCAGGGGTCATATCTTAGACTTCTCTGTATCATCCAGACTATCTGTAACAGTGCTGGGCACACAGTAGGTGATCAATAAACACTTGTTGATTGAGTAACTGTTTTATTGATTAAAAGGGATCCAGACAGGGCAGGTAAGACTGGAGGGATTTGGACTAAAGGGAGGGAGGTTGGGTGGAAGCTGGCCTTTCTCTCCACAGGGTGGATAGAAAATTCTAGACTTTACTGGAAACAATTAGAAAGCATAACAATCCCGCTCCTCAAGGGAACTCTAACCTCTTTACCTTGTCCAGGGCCCTTCCCTTTTCACAATTGTTTCATTTAAGTTATTTGCTAAATTATTATGTTTTGTATTCTTTTCATTCTCTGAACCACTATTAAGGAAAGGTGAAATAGATCTGATTGTCTCCATTTGGCAGATGGGGAAACTAAGGCCCATACAAGTATAGATTTTCCCAGGGCTACACAGCTGGTGTTAGTTCCCCAGTCTCCTGACTCCCCAAATAGGATCCTACTGATTCAGTATTACTCACATCCAATAGGAAGAGCCATCTGGAGGTCCACAATCTGCCTGGGGAAAGTAACTTATGGCCAGTCAGATAACAATGAGGGTGCACAGGGAAAGGACTCCCATGAGGGTGACCTGGGAAAACAGGACCAATTCACCAAGTACACACCTGGAACTACCCCTCTTGCCATGCTGGCCAGTAGGCCAGCTTGGGGCCAGACGGCTGTCCCACCAGGGTGATGCTTACATTTGAATAAGACACGGCACCTCAGTTCCAATTCCTCTAACTCTGAAGATGTGGGAGTTTGAGAGGCCGGTGATTTGGCCCTGTTCTAACTTCACTGGGCATTAACAAAGCCTCTTTCATAAGAGTATTAACTGTGGCAACACTGACAATAATGGGTCCCCCTACAGGATTCAGCTTAACCAGTCCCTGGACCTAGAGGGTCTGAGCACATAGGAGCCTGTTATACTCGATACTACACTTGTACTTCTGAAGTGGGCCTTCTTTGTTGTACAGGCTAAAATCCCAGCATCCAAACCTATTTAGAGGGAATAGCAGCAGCAGGACAAGCAGAGAGAGAGAGAGGGCTCTCTGGACAGAAGCTTGACAAGGGGTCATGTCTCTGGTCTGACAGTAAGAACCCTAGAGCCCTTGACTGAGGGAAACTGGAGGTTGGAAAATAGGATTGCGTTGCTGGCTCTGCTGTGCTGAGTGGGCATCAATCAGGTATAGGGTCTGATGACCTACCATCTGGCTGCCAAAGTACTTTCAGATCCACTGATTTCACTGCATCTTTTAAATACCCCAGTGAAGCAGGTCTCTACAGGAGACAAAATAGAGACCCAGAGAGGTGGGTTAATTTCAAATTACAGAGTGTCACAGTCTGAACATAAGCTTGGGAACTCTTTGGAGCAATGTGGACCCAGGATTCTGGTCTCAAGAGGTGTATGAGGGCATGTTGCTCTTCAAACTCCTTCAGCCTTCATGTCCCTGTCTGCTACAGGAATATAAGGACCTTTGAGGAAAATGGGCACAAGCTTACCTTCAACTTAGAATGAGACTGGCCTGGAGGGGTTCTCCTACCTTGGTTAATCTGGGAAGTTTCAGCAGGAGTTAGAAGTTCATCTTCAACTAAAAAAGCCAGGGAAGATCTAACAAAGAGCAACTGTTCCCTTTGGTTGGTTGAGTAAGAAAGGCTTTGCTCTAAGTAGTTTCCTAGAAATCTTCCTGAGCTCTGGTTCCAAGGCAAACATTTTTCAGCTTCACCTCATTGCCTTCCCTCATAAAGTAATTTAGATTAGTCATAGACCTAGGGGATAGTGAAGGCCATTGTGTCTATGCTCCAGCCTCATGGCTCTGACCCTTGCACAAGAAGAAATATTTCTGCCCTCCCTCATTCCTCTGATAATGATGTGACTCATATTTTCTCCCCTGTGAAGCCCTAGTGACCTACTGCTATGGGATCATTAATGGGGGTGAAAGACTAAGACTGGCTTCTTAGCGGAAAAGTAAGCTCCACCTTTCTGAGAGACCTTCATCCAGCCAAACAGCCAAGCAGCCATCTTGCAGCCAGCCCACACTAACTGAACTCTTACTGTGTCAGGCGATATGCTAACGGCTTTGAGGGTGACAAGGGTGAACAAAGTAAAGTCTGTGCCTTGTAGAAGCTGACAGCTAATCTAGAGGAGATAAGACACACACATCTGTGGTACAAAGCAAAATGCAGACTGTCCTATGAGAGACAAGAAAAAAGAGACATAAATAGGGGTGTCAAGGACTGAGAAAAATAGTAACGTAAGGCCTCTTAAGTTCCACTCCATGTGAAATGAGGGCCTGGTACTTCATGAGCTTCCGGGGGAAGGATGATCATAAGAAACTGCAGCTGAAGGGCTGTGGAAAACTGAGAAAGAGGCTGAGAGCAGTGCTAAGAAGGTAACAGGGGCCAGGCACGGTGGCTCACACCTATAATCTCAGCACTTTGGAGGCTGGGGCAGGAGGATTGCTTAAGCCCAGGAGTTTGAGACCAGCCTAGGCAACATAGTAAGCCCTTGTCTCTACAAAAAATGCAAACATTAATTGGGTGTGGTGGTAGCACATCTGTATTCCCAACTACTCAAGATGCTGAGGTGGGAGGATCATCTGATCCCAGGAGGTTGAGACTGTGATGAGGAGGGATCATGCCACTGCACTCACTGCAGTTTGGGAAACAGAGTGAGACCCTGTCTCAAAAAGAAAACAAACCAAACAAACAAAAAACAAAGACAGGAAGAATAATATATACTGCACAGCTAACCAGAACCCTTGTGAATTTGCTTCATAGGACCCCTAAGAGGCTCCGAGAGAGGGAGTGACCCTGGAGTTCAGTCTCTTCTTCTTCATCTCCTTCCCTTGGGCAGGAACTTGCTGAGGGCAGCAGAGGCAGTACCCATGCAAGTAGCCAGGGGCTTTTGGTTCTGGACTAGAGGAGAAACACAGGCATGGGGGAAGGGAGAGAGGGGAGAGGAGAGCGTAGTGCTAAAGGAAGGCAATGAGGCCTTTCAGGGCCAACTGTTACCTCCCACTCAGCCCTGGGCCCATGGACAGGGGATTATTTCGTGCCTGCAGCCACCCACTCTGGGACACAGAGGCCCAAGCTGGGAAGTGCATGTGCTCCTCCTCAGCTGGCTGAAGCCTGGCCTTCGCCCAGATTGGTCTCCCTGCCCAAGCGGCTCCGGCTTTGATGAGAGATTCTATTATCTCAAGAGAGAAAAGAACCTCAAACAGGAAGTCCAGCAGGTTATCTCTCTCTTCTGTCCTAAGTGGTGGCTCACTATATACTGCGATGTGATCACTGATAAAATATTAACAGGCTGCTATCAGGCACAGTGACACAGTGGCTATAATCTGACCACCTCCTCCCACCCACAACCCACCACTTTCCTGGGAATTGCAGTCCAGGAATTCTTAGTTCATTCTCACCTACAATTTCCTGCTCTGGGCCTCATTGCTACAGAAGACAAGCAGAAGTGTCTTAGAGCTTGACAAAGCAGGAGGCCACCATGCAAGGGCACACCACCAGGTCCATTTTAGGAGAGAGCTGCTGCTCTCCTGTCTTCCCTTAAGTCCCATTCTGCAAGAATAGCAGCCTCACTGCTTTACAAGTCACTTCCTGGTGTGTGTGTGTCGGGGGGAGGTAGGCCTTGAAGAACTTACTGTTTGCAAATGCTCATGACTTTGCAAAGATAACATTGAAGATGCTCACGAGCTTTTAAAAAGATAATAGGGAGTATGACGGGATGCGAAATG